GTTCTATTGACTCCAGCTTTAAAGTGAAGTTTTCTTTGCATGTATTTTTGTGAAAAAATACATTATATGCAGGTAATAAAACAAAGAAACCAAATTTCCATACAGACCTGGAAGGCATCGCGGCAGACGGTGATGAGCAGGGTGAAGGACGATCCAGTGGGGATCGGGGAGTTGTGCTTCCTCTCTTCGGTGCCCCAGCTTCCGTGCTGGAAGGAATTTGTGACCACATAAGCAGAAAAAGTCTCATAACGAGGGTTAAAGTGTAGGGCGATGTCCGCATTGGTGCTGGATCCACACTGCAAGTTCACATGGAACCTGGAGGAAACACAAGGCGCCAATCGTTATGACTTGGTTTAGGACACTGTGAAGTATAAATGTGTTCAGTGTTTTTTGCCCTCAGACAAAGACATTTGTCACTAAAAACGTCCATTGTTCAAACTTGCAGAAGGTTTAGGAGGACTTCCCATAACTCAAAATTCACATCATAGAAAAAGTCCTGCCCTCCCATGTGTCAGCATGAATACATATGTTAGCATGATACATACTTTAGCATGAATACATACGTTAGCATGAATACAGACAGACAGACAGACAGACAGACATTTTATTGTTCCCGAGGAAAATTCAAACATACGTTAGCATGTATACGTAAGCATGAATAGATTCTCCTCCTTCCTCTCACTGCTCGGCCCTCAGCCAATTCTCAGTCTCACCTGTTGGCTCCAGGTAGGACTCGTCCAGAGACGTTGATGGATTTCCCCTCCTGCAGACCACCGTGGATCGACCCGGTGAACGGGATTCTCTACAAAGATGATGAGACTTCACATCAGCAGCTGCTTTTATCTCTAATGGTTTTTTTTTTTACTGCGTCTCTTTCTGTATTTAAACTCGAAGGTTCAACTTGGAAACTTTGTGGTTCCCAAAGTGGGGGTCGAGATCACCTGGGAGGTCATCAGGGGGTCCTTAGCGTGGATGAGTTTGAGAACAGTGACCTAGAGGACTTGATCTGATCAATAAAATTCCTACTGTACTTAAATACACCTGAACCTTAAATATATCTAAATATGCACATCAGGGTCGTCACAATAGATGATACTAATAAAACTCTAATGACACCGTTTCCTACCAAGACTGCAAACATGGACGTCCAGATATTTGCTGCCTGCTTATCTTTCATTTTCTAAATAATTACAGAGAGAAAGAGAGAGAGAGAGAGTGAGAGAGTGACAGAGAGCTGTCTATTAATATGCAATGATTCGAAACTGAAATGTTGCTGACACACTTCTGCAATTGAGACAGCGCTCTCTCTCTCTCTCTCTTTCTCTGATCTACCAGAAGGGCCTGAATGTAAACAGCAAGTAAAGTACTCTTTATGTACAGTACAAACATTGAAAGTAAAGCAACTAAGCCTAGCAACTTTTATTTTGAAATGTGAAATTGAAAAAAACTTGGATTTAAAATGTGACTAACTATTAAAGTTAAAATCTAAGGATTAGTCGTGATTAAAGGAAGGAAGTTGAACTAAAGACAAACTACAAAATAAAGGTAACATGAGTTGAATTGAATGTTCTGATCTGATTCAGTTTTATCCTGAACCATTACTACAACACAAGGGGTAAAATTATCTCTGATTTAAGTCTTTAACATAACTAAAGGAAAACACAATGAATAAACCAATAAATAAATGAACACAGTTTTATATGGTTAAATGTTAAATAAAAATTAGGAGGGACCCTCCAGATTCACCCCCACCCCCCTCCTGCTGTAAGTTCTCAGGAAACGAGTTCATGTCCTGAGCTCAGAGTTTCAGGAAATACCGAAGGTATGAAATAGAGATCTAAGTGTTTTCTCGTTGATCTTAAACCCAAACAGAAAATCATGACTCTGCTGCAGACGCGTAAAAACGTCCTGTTGGGTAGAAAGAGTTCAGGAATGTGAAATCTTCAGTGTTAAAAGTGAGCCGAATTTAAGCAATTTTAAGCGAATTTAAGCAGACCTGGAGACCAGCACAAAACAATTCATTAGAAATATTTTTACAGCGATTTATTTTCATAATCTGCATTTCACTCTTAAATTATCTGATTTTCAGACCGAATCCCGAAGTGATCGGACTTAAACAGGCTCGAAGTAACGGTACAGTGAACCCCACCTTCTGTGTAACTTTGTTTCCAGGATTAAAAAGGATAAAGACCTTGAATCACTTACTGGGTTGTAAAAAGGTATCTGCTGGTTAAAAGCCATTGTACAGGAATCAAATGTGCATTCCGTGCTGGTCCGCAGGTCAGTATGATCAGGGTGAAAAATGGAGATGAAGAAGTCCTTTTTTATTGCATAAATAGGTTTCGATTCCTCTAGTAGAGTAGGCGGTGTTTAAAAGGATCCAGCCCTATCAGTAGGCTGCAGCTTACACAATAAGACACAAGATATCAGGACGTCCATTTAAACACACCCTGTTTGTTTTGTCAGTTTGAGACCACAGCGAAAAAATCTGAAAAGTTTGAAGATCCATAATCATTTAAAAATATAACAAAGATCTGCCCTGTCAAATTTAGATTAAGCAAATGAAACACATATTAGAGACGCTGCTGTTTTATTTATTAACTTATCTTTTAATTACCAAGAGCCAGATGTCTCTATCTCCACTGAAAGAGGTTCACAGGTGACTCTCAGGCGGATTTGATCAACTCATCGGAAGCTCATTCAAGTAACCTGCAGCCAGAGTTCACCTGCTAGAAATATATTTATTTTTTTAGGAACAGTACAGAGCCCACTTTCGGTCATTCGATTTTCCTTTCAGAAACGGGTATTAAAAAACAAAACACGAGGGGTTATTTGATTTTCGTTTTTAAATACAAAATTAAAATTTAAAGGTAAAATTGAAAAGAAAAAACGCCTTGTATTTTAATTTTAATTTCTGTATTTTAAAACGAAAATTAAATAACCCCTCGTTTTTTGTTTTATAATACCTGTATCTGAAAGGAAAAATCAAATGACCAAAAGATACACTGACCAACATTGATCCCCATTTTAAATTTGTCAACTTTACAGCTGCAGTTCCTCCAGTGACCACTAGAGTCTGTCTCCTGCAGTGAGTCAGTCCCCATAGAGCTCCATGTTAAAATGTCCAACTTTACAGCTGCAGTTCCTCCAGTGTCCACTAGAGTCTGTCTCCTTCGGTGAGTCTGTCCCCATAGAGCCCCATGTTAAAATAAACATGTTTACAGCCTGGTACAAAAACAGTTTGGGTCTCTAGAGCTCATTTCTCTCTTCAACTGTATGTGCTAAATGTTTAAATAACTCAGCTGTTGACATTATATCAAGGCTTAAAGTGATTTAGAATTAGGGGGCGTGGCCTCTTTGAGTGACAAGTGGGAGCTGCTAGATGTCTGCTAGGTTTCACTTAATTCAGTCCCTGACCTTTAACCCCTGGGCCGTGTTTGTGCTTTTGGAGCCTAATCTGTCTCTCTTTGAGCTTTCTAGGACTAAACAGACCTTCCAACAAGTCTGCGCTCCACTTTCTACAACCAGTCACATTATTTACGTTAGCAACAACTAGCAGCTAGCTGAGTCAGTGAGAACCAAACCTGGACTGCTCGCTGGTTGGGTGTTGAGTAAATTGGACAGATTATTTACTTCTGCATGGACTTTGGACTCAAACAGAAACCAGACACACAGACACTTTGTTAGAGTTGATCTGATGTATTCAAACGGTGACCAGACGATGCCCCGCTCGGTGATTCAGGAAATGACTAAGTGTTAATGAATGATCAGTCATGTGCTTCACTTGAGTGTCTGTGCTGCTTTTACTGAAGATCACATGGAAACCTGCTGCATATAAGAAGCAGTCATAATGTAGATCTGTGTCAAAGGTGATAACATCACCTGAGATCCTGCCCCCTTCAGGATCCTGTTCAAGATTTTATGACTTTACATGCTCCTACTTTATCATGGTTTTTATTCTCTTCTTATTGTTGGCTGTTTTATTATAAAGTGTTTTTTTATGCGCTCTATTAATAAACTTTGACTTGACTTCAAACTCAGACGTCAGAGGAAACGACGAGTAGAGTCGGCGTGCTGACCCTCCCTTCTGCTGCACGCCGCTTCCCCTTTGTTCCTCTTTCATATTTCCTCTCACTGGTTCAACAGCAGACAGGAAGACTTTCACACCGCTCTCATCTTCAAGTTAAAAGTGTAAAATGTCAATCAGAGGGATGAAGACAATGAATAGAAGATAACGAGATAAACAAAGACATTCAGTTTGAACTGTTTCTACTCTTCTGAAGGCCTCAGTACGGCGTTCTCTTCTGCCACCATCTTGTTTGGTTAAGGATACAGAGGAGGTCAATGTGGCGAGCAGTGTGCGGTGTGACGTTTTGGTTGTTCACGGTTAATTAATGACTTTCATGGTTTAAAGAGTCCAGCTGAGGTTTAAACCTTTCTACCAGCTGCTGAGTGTGAGCAGAAAAAGAGACTCCTTCAATCAAATATTCAAATATCTGTCGCTCCAAACCCGACCTTTGACCACAGAGAAGAGGACGACGAAGGTTTGAAGATGCTGGAATGATTTCTGATCAATCTGACAGAAAGACAGAGATTCAGAAGATAAACTTTATTATCTCCAGCTGTTCAGACCAGAATCTTAAAAAGTATCCACATGCTATGTACAAAAATACTCAACAAAATAACAGACCCCCCCCACAATCAGTCCATCAACGAGTCTGAAGTACCCTTTACAAAGGAGAGAAACCTGAAACAGAGAAATTTAAATACAATGTGCAGCTCTGCAGCTCTTTACATTCAGTGTGTAATAACACACACACACACACACACACACACACACACACACACACACACACACACACACACACACACACACACACACACACACACACACACACACACACACACACACACACACACACACACACACACACACACACACACACACACACACACACACACACACACACACACACACACACACACACACACACACACACACACACACACACACACACACACACACACACACACACACACACACACACACACACACACACACACACACACACGTACCTGTGACCAAACATTCCAGCCCTTTGTTCTCCTAAACTCTTTGATTGTTTATTAATGTCTGATTGATGGAAGTGTTGTGAATACTTGAAGTTAGACTAAATGAGAGAGGTCTGCTTTCTACCTGGTACTCAGGTCTACACTGAACCTGGAGCCGCTGGGGAAAGCAGAACCAGATCACATCAGGTACTAAGAAGCTGCTGCAGTTTAATAATGAAGTATGAAGACGCCGTGCGGCTCTCAGCTGCAGTACTTGTACATGAAAGGACAGTGTGCATGAAGGCCCTGGTGGTCTCTCAGACAGTGATGATGATGATGATCCCACAGCCTTTATCAGGACAAGGAGACAGACACCGGCAGTGTGTGAAGACGAGCAGAAAGAGACGAGCAAACGGAGGAGATAGAGGAAGCAGAATGTTCAGACCATCAGGACCAGGCGGGAGCAGTCGGCAGCCCAAGGAGAAGAAGAAACCAGAGAGAAGAGAAAGAGAGAAGAGGAGGGTGAGAAACAGGATGAAGAGGTCTGAGGGAATAAGATAAAGGAGCAGAAGGAATGGATAAAAACAAAGCACTAGTCCGAAGCCCTCGTCAGGGTGAGCTTTTCAGGAGTGCATGTGTGAAAACATCTTTACTAGATCTTTCCTAAAATATAATCTAGAGGTCACATTTAAGAAGGTCATTATCAAAGTAGATAGTCAGCAGGACAAAGTCTGAATATTCACATTTCTTTACACATCTTATTTACAACACTTCCGTGACGTTGATGTTTGCAGGTTCCTTTTGCCTGACTCCCTTTTTCAGTGTCTGTAAGAACGCTGCTGCAGGCGGCTTCCTGCTGGATGAACGTTGAGGATGAATAAATCTTCTCCTCGTCCTATGATACATACTCTGTAGTCTTCCAGAAGTGTCCGGGGTGAGACAGCCTGCGGTTCAGTTTGGGGAGTCTCTCCAGCATGTCGGCCAGCAGAGTGAACGTCGGCCTGCCGTCGGCCTCGGAGGACCAGCAGGCAGAGAGGATGTCCTGTAGGGCCGAAGAGGAGGATTCAAAAGTTAGACGGGTGCTTTGAATAACTCAAGATTTTAAAATGAGGTAGTTTATTCTCTATCCTGGTCTAAAAGGGGCCTGTACACTCTCCCACCTGCAACAATTCTGCAGAACAGCTTTGCTGTTTGAGGGTATGCAGATGATGCACAGATTTAATTTAAAAAAACTAACTAGAGTTTAAGTTTGCTGCATTTCCTCCAGTGTCCACTAGAGTCTGTCTCCTGCAGCGATTCAGTCCCCATAGAGCAACATGTTAAAATGTCTAACTTAACCTAAAAAAGCCAGGGTCAAAATGCCAACCTCGAGGCAGCATTTCATGTAAAGTCAAAGCTCTCCTTCCTCCGACCTGATTGGCTTTTCAAGAGTCAAAATGACATCCAACCAACTCACCGTGACCTCTTTCCCTAGATTGGCGTCTGCTAGAACCTTCTTAATGCCTTCCCCGCTGCCCGCCAACCAGATTTTAGCCTCCACAGGCAGGTCAGTGATTGGCCAGTCCCCTACCTGCAGCTCATACCAGATCGTACTAAAAAACACAAGAAAAGAAAAATTAGAGTGAAGACACACACACACACATATGGTCGACCCTTTATGGCCAATAACCCTGTGTACAAAGTAAGAGACGTTTTCTTGATGCGTTGATGATCTGATGACAAAAAGTTGTGGTTTTGTTTTTGTTGAACAACTGTTCACGTTAACGTCCACAGGAATGAACTCTGAAGCGAACGTCTTTGTTAACAAGATCCTTCACACCTCAGATCAAAGGAAAACATAAAGCTGCAGAGAGATTCCTCTTTAGAGAGTCTAAAGTAAAAAGGTTTTCAATCTGTCGGTGTGAGCTACAGTCACTGAAAACTTTCAGAAGAAAAAGAGTCAAGGTGTAACTCCACACATTTATGTGTGAGAACACTGACAGCTGAATACATGTATTCAAACACGGCTGAGTTTGATAGAAAGAAGAAAGAAGGAGAAGAAGAGGAGGACGAGAGGAAGAGGAGGAGGAGGAGAGGAGAAGGGGGAGGACGATGAGGACGATGACGAGGAGGAGGAGGGAGAAGAGGAGGATGAGGAAGAGGAGGTGGAAGAGGAGAGGAGGAGGAGACAAAGAGGGGAGGAGGAGGAGGAGGAGGAGGAGGAGGAGGAGGAATAGGAATAAGAAGGTTTGAAACATGGGATGAGAAAAGCTTGTTGTGAAAAGTTTACAACTGATTAAAGTAAAACATGGGCCATGTAGTACCTATTTGAAACACTAGGTGTAACAGATACACATTGCTCCTTTAAATAAAGATTTAGATGACAATATAATTAAAAGATATATAGATAAAAGTGAAATACCCAAAGGCGTAAATGTCTGCAGCTTTGGAGAACGGCAGCTGATCCTCGCCCTCCTCTGGACGCATGTTTTGAACGATCTCTGGAGCGAGGTACGAAATCCAGCCGCGAGGTATCCGCACGACGTTCTTCCTCCTAAAAACACACACACACACGTTCATGAAGACAGCGGTCCAATCTGAGCAGAGATACAGACACAGTATATTTCATAAAGTCCCTCATACCGGCCCTCCTGAACCACTCCTGACATCCCGAACAGGCCGAAGTCCGTGATCACCACCTTGTTGGTGTCGTAGAAAATGTTCTTGGACTTCAGGTCTTTGTGAACGATGTCTTTGGCGTGCAGGTATCCCATCCCCTGTAAGAAACAAGTCTTTGTTTATGGATTGGTTTACGATGTCTTGTACGTATTTAGTTAAAACAAGTTTCTAACCTTTACAATGTCTTGTACGTGTTTAGTTAAAATACGTTTCTTACCTTTACGATGTCTTGTGCGATCTGTCGGATTTTGTTGATGTCCAGCATGTGACCTCTCTCTCTTACGACAGAGTACAGCGTCAGACCTTTACAGAAGCTTCAGACAGACGAGCATCATGTGAATAAAGAGGAAACATTAGGTGAATTCTTTTAGGATTTGTGTCTGAAACGTGCATTTCCTGTGACTGCACCTTGTGATGATGGCGAGATGAGGCGGGGCCATGCAGGCGCCCATGAACAGCACCACGTTCTCGTGTCTGGTCTGCCTGTAGTTCATCACCTCCTTCTTGAAAACTTTCAGGTGATCCTGGTTGTTCCCGTCGATCTCCAGCAGGCGAATCGCCACCTCGCCGTGCCAGCGTCCTTTGTGTACCTTCCCCCAGCGACCCTGCACGACCACACGGTCACATGAATACGCTGGATGTTCAGGTTATCATGTTTTTCTTACCCAGATTCAGGGACTGGTTTGTGCTCACCTGTCCGATGAGCTCCCCCAGCTGCAGCTGCTCGTACGGGATGTCCCACTCCTGCAGGTACACGCTGGTCTGACTCGCCTTGCGGGAGATCGGACCCCTACAGCGGCCGACGGCCCCACGGCGACATATCGATGACGGAGGCAGATCCTCTAGCCCGTCCTCGTCCCCCTCCTCAGGAGAGACGCTCTTTGTTCTGCTGTTCTGATTGGTTGAGTCCTCCTCCTCAGCATTCTCCTGTAAAGAAAAAACACAGCGGACGTTTAATTTAATCATGGATTTAATGTCAGTTGAAAAGATTTTATGAAAGTGACGTGACAAAGTAAGAAACATTGAACAGTGTTATGTCACTGCGTGGGCTCAGAGGGCCGAACAGAAAAGGATATTTAATTCATTCTTTACAGAATATGTTCTTCTTCACAGCAGCTACGATCACAGCATCATCAAAACATTCACCCCCCGTACAGTGTGTGTCGATCGAGACATGAGCTAATCAGACCTACTGGGTTTTTTGAACCAGGTTGTAAACATGTTAATTCTGAATGGGTTTGTATGTGACTTCCTGTTCTTCTGCAGCCAGCCTCTAGTGGACACTCGAGGAACTGCAGGATTTTACACTTCTGCATCGGTGTGTGTGTGTGTGTGTGTGTGTGTGTGTGTGTCTCTCACCCCTCCTCTATCTGCTGTGGTGAGCTGACTCTCGGTGATGACCTCCTGTGACCCTCTGACAGGAAAAACAAAAAAAACAATTCAATTTGTGTTATTAATCACACCGTCTCTCTGCCTCCTTCACGAGTAACTACATCATTTACATTTAGTGAAATTATGTTTCAGATATCTTTTTCAATTTGTGTCTGTAATCTGACGGTTGATTTTGACACTTGATAACAAACATACAAAGATGCTATTGGCTGAAATGAAAAACAAACATATAAACTAAAGTATGTCTGGCGCCCTCTGTTGGACAGACTATGTAACTGTTTCTTAACCAACTCCATTAACATATTTCAAAAGATGTACTTTATTATTCCTCCAAAGGAAATTCAAGTTTTGAGACATGCTGCACACACAGGATCATTGGGCATGCACTGATGGAGCGATGTCCTGACCGGGTCGTACCGGACTCTGACCGGGTCGTACCGGACTCTGACCGGCGACCCTCTGGTTCCCAACCCGAGCTCCGACAGGTCGAGCTCCTGACTCCCTTAGTTTGTGTATTCAGTGTGTTTCAGTCTCTTACCCCGGCTCGTAGCAGCTGCCGACGTGTGGAACAGCTGGATGTAAAGAAGCAGGAACATCTGTGGGGAAATCAAACTTCAGAATACTGCAGGAGACGTTCAACATGAATACTTCACATATCTGCATATTCAGGATGTTACGTAGAAAATGGAAGGGGGGCCTTTGTTCCATGATAACTAAGAACAGGCGAGCACCATCTTTTATAAAGTTTAATCAAAAATGTCAAATACAAAGCGCTGAGGTAGGATTATAATGCCTGACTTCACATGGCGAGTTGGGACCTACTTAGGTTGGAAAGTTTCCTCGTAATGAATGCTAATGAAGCAGTGTTAGAGAACACACCCAGATCCTACATTTCCCATGATGCAATCATTATCGTTCTTTGTTGCTGATTGTCTGTGACTGTGCCGTGTATGTGATGAAAGTGAGACAGGGCTGCAGGGTGCTGCAGTGGTTAGCTCTGTCCCCCCACAACGAGGAGGTTCCTGGTTTGAAACAGCAGCCTCTCAGTGTGGAGTTTACATGTTCTCCCTGTGCATGTGTGGGTTCTCTCCTGGTACTCCGGCTTCCTCCCACAGTCCAAAGACATGCTCGTTCGGTTAACTGCTGACTCTAAATTGTCCGTAGGTGTGAATGTGAGTGTGGCTGGTTGTCTCTCTCTAGATGTCAGCCCTGTGATTGGCTGGTGTTCAGTCCAGGGTGTAACCCGCCTCTCGCCCAATGACAGCTGAACAGAAAAGTGGTATAGATAATGGATGGAGGTGCATGTACCTGGGAAATGAAAGCTGTCGTCACGGCAGCCCTGCGGTGACGAATGGGGAGGGGGGGTGGCGCTCACGCTGGGGGGGTTACTCTGCTGGAAGTGTGCGGGGGAGGAGGGGGTGGAGGAGGTGGCTGAGGACGGGTTACTGCTGGAGTCCAACTGGTTTAAACTAGGAGGGGGCTCCTGTGAACACGAACACGCACACACACACCCAGTATAATGAACAGATCAGATGAACAGTTCAATAAAGATACTGACATTAAATTTAGATCTGTAAATCTGTACGTACCCTCTTTGTGATTGCTTTCGGTAAAGTGCCAAACTGCACCGGCATCACTGCTGAGTGATCGATTCGATTATTAATGTCTGATGGAACCGATTCTGCTCTCCGCATCCTCGGCACTGCAGGACAGATTAAAGGAACAGTTCAACATGTTTCACGTCTTTAAACAACACAAAGCTTCCGATCTCTGATTTTACTTTGTAAGTTCCAAACAAAACAATTTAATACAAACATCAAATCTGAAAAAGGAGCAGAAAGAAGAAGCATCTAGAACCTGCCCCTCTTTCATTCATTAAGGGAGCGGTATGTAACTCTGGCCCCTAGTTTTTAAAATGGGTACTGCAGTCCAGATTCTAAACATCATAGAGAGCTGTCTCCCCGCCCCCTCCTCAGCTTCAGTGCTTAGCCAGCTCTGCATCTGTCTGTAAAATTTTCTGTTTTGGGGCGCTGGTGGCGCAGTGGCTAGTGTGCGCGCCCCATGTATGAAAGCTGTAATCTTCCAAGCGGGCAGCCCAGGTTCAAATCCCACCTGTGGCTCCTTTCCTGCATGTCATTCCCCACTCTCTCTCTCCCTGATTTCCAGCTCTATCCACTGTCCTATCTCTCAAATAAAGGCACAAAAAGCCCAAAAATAAATCTTAAAAAACAAAAAACTTTCTGCGTTCTAACCTCTCTCCATTTTTCAAAATCATCTCCAATATTGATCCTAGTTTGAGCACGTTTCTGCTCGTGGAGCTTATTAGAAACATGCAGAGGCTTTTTAGGTCGGGTACAATCACTTCTATCTGAACCACTTCTCTTGACTGCTTCCATCGCTGCAACACCTGTTGGTTTGACCTGATAACTGCTCTCATATCTGACAAACCGAGGGGCGTCCAAAACGGCCCTGTGGGGGTGTCTTAAAACCGCCTACCATTCAGGACCAGAATCTAAAGTTAGAAGGAGGACATACTGACTGCTGCATTGTTGTCAGAGAAGCCAGCACTTCAACATAGCATGTTTCCTTAATGTCTGATCATATAGTAAGATCACTTTATCATCTTACTGATTGGACCTTATTTACATTTATATTTAGAGATGAATCATATAAGTTCTCTGCACGGACTCTGTATTCGTGTTTCTTACATGTGAGGAATGAGATCCGACACGAGGGAGCGTCTTTGGTACATTTGTTGTGACACTTTAACCTGCAAACACAGAACAGAACATCTGAGGCTGGAATCATTGGACACATTGTTCTTGTACTTTCATATTTAAACTGTCTTACTTGCAGTGTTTGCATTTGACCCCAAACATCATGCTCCTTCGACACACCTGACACGTCTGAGAGAGCCACGACTTTGTGGAAAACCTACGAAACAGATTCAACCTTCATGTTTTTAAAAGAAATGAGGAATTAAACGGGGACAATGTGAGGCAATACAAAACTTCTTGTGCTCCATTTTCATCCATTTCAATGATTCCACTTTACAATGTTTGTGTGTTTGTCAGGTAAAAGACAAGCTGCGGTGTTTTGAACAACAGGAAGTGCATTACAATCATCAGGACGTGCACAAGTCAATGAGGACCTTAAGCTAGATCTCAGGACAGAGGGTCGCTGCTGCCAACAGTCACTAAAACCCTCTGACCCCAGCTGAATGACCACGGTGGTTACAAACCTGTGAGTGACGGCGAGGCCGATGTCTCTCCTCAGAGTCTGCGGCGAGCTCCTGTGCACGCTCACACCTGCAGACAACATTAAACTGTTCACTTTAACGGTATCACAAAGCACTGCGGCGCAGACTGAGCAGAGGTTTGATGTGTGGGCTCACCGTCCAGCAGTGGGGGGTGTGCAGTCATCATGTATGGGGCGGACGAGGGGACAGGGCCAACTGTCCGTGCAGACAGCGGAGGCGAGCGCAGGGCCGAGTCTTCAGGAGGGTTTCCTGAGCCGTTGATGTGAATCGCAGCCAAAACCTTGTTCTTCCTCCCGACCCTGAGAGAACACAGAGGGACAGATATGTACAGCAGGTTCTCTGATAGGTCAGTCAGTCCATTGGAGTCTGCTCCAACCCAACCTGCACGGTCCAATCAGGTGTCAGCTCATCAGAAACAGGTGCATGCACAGACTTGTACCTGTGAGAGTGAATTCGCATCCTCTAGTGCAGTGGTTCTCAAACCATGGTGGTACGCAAAGGACTTTCCACAATATAAAAAAAAAAAAAAAACGTTCAGCAGACGTACTCTTATCTTATTTGGCTTGTATCTATTGGTTTGTATTTATATCAAATGTGTTTTCCCCTCTAAATTAATCTAGTTTTTGCAACAAACAACTTTAATCTTCTCAATTTATGCTCGTGCACGTGCACAGGAGTACGCCATTTTGAAAAGTTCCACTCGATATTCCCTTATTTATAGGAGTTCAGTACTGAATCAACAGAAAGCAGCTGTAGGCCTACATTAACAAATATTCTGTTATTTATTGGAGTTCAGCATGTGTGTAGAAATAGGCCTACAGTGTATTTTAACGTCTACCATAATGGTGGTACTTGGAGAGCCAAATATTTTCGGAGGTGTTACTCAGTCTAAAAAGTTTGAGAACCACTGCTCTAGTGACACCTGGGGATTGTTTCTCATAATCTGAAAAGAGATCAGGCTGAACTTTGTGACTAAATAAATTATTTTTGATTCGATACAGTTAAAGCAACACTCTGTAACTCCTCCCCCTTCAGTCGTTTCAAAGTCGATCTAATAGAACAATAACCTCCAAAAGGAAGAATGGTGTCTCTCTCGTGTCCACAGAGCGCCCCGCTCGCCTGTTTTCAGAGTGACAGCACTGTGTGTTTTATGACAGTACACTCAGAGACCTTCAGTGGGCGCCAAAGAGCACCAAACTGAAATCCTGCGTATTGCTGCATCAAATATTTCTGACTGGTCATTTGCACCACGTGGTTGCTGATCTTTGTTGTGTATTGTGGCCTAGCGGTTATATCACACACCCCATGTACAGTGGCCCGGGTTCGATTCTGACTTCCTACACTCTCTCCTCCTCTTTCTGCTGTCTGAAAACATAACTTTTAAGAACTGACGGTTTGGTTGTGACCCGACCCCTCATTACGTCAGGGTTTGTTTTTACACTCACTTGTGAGCCGCGGGCTCCTCAATGCGGTTGGCCAGCTGTGACTCGTGACTCTTACTCCAAGTCAGGTTGATGTTGGGGAAAAGCTGCAGCAGTTTGCGTGAAGGCGGTGGGGGTGTCTGGGAGGACTTGGCAGTGCGTGACTTTGAGGCTCGTCCGGGCGGAGGCGTGCTCGGCTCAGGAGCGAAGGCGTCCGTCATTTCCTCAGCTGATAAGTACGTCCGGTGCTCCTCTGAGCAAGGCACCACTGAGATGGAGATGGAGCGGCCGTGGTTGGTGGTGGGCTGCAGGGGGAGGGTGGGGCTGAAGACGCTGGAGGCGGGGCTGATGGGAGAGAAGGCATCTCTGTCCTGTGAGCGCTCCGAGCTGCAGGAACCTGAGGAGAACAGGAAACGCCTCAAATGAGCAGCCAGAAACATGTTAGACATCCTGTCGGAGACACAACGTGTTAGAAATGTTTGACCCTCCAGAACGAGTCATCCTTTGACTTAGAACCTGAACCTGCAGGAATAAATACCTACATTTCAAGTAGTGTAGCCAGCTGAAGCTCACATTTAAACTTACAGTATAGGTTCTTATAATTCAGGTTTTTAAGGTTGACATTCACTGACACAGGTCAAAGGTCGCAGAGATGTTGTTCTGTGGACGTGAAGTTGGGGTTGTTTTTTAAAGTCTTCACATATACTCACCACATATTTTTTAAGTATTATATATTTATATATCTATATATATCTGCACAGCCAGTACACCTGTATCACCTGTTTCATTATCACTCTTCAGACAGGAGAGGGCAGCAGTGAGGCGCGATTGCTCCTCTGAGTTTGAGCCCAGACGTCTCATCGTGTCCTGCAGCTCACAGCTGGACATCTGCACGCCGTCCACTGAGAGCTTTCCCGCTGCAGCCTGCCGGAGAGACAGAGGACACAGAGGTCAAAGAGAGGACACAGAGAGGACAGAGAGGTCAGAGAGAGGACACAGAAGACACACAGAGAGAGGACACAGAACAGAGAGGAAAGAGAGAGGACACAGAGAGAGAGGACACACAGAGAGGACACAGAGAACAGAGAGGAAAGAGAGAGGACACACAGAGAGGACACAGTGGATAGAGAGATCAGAGAGAGGACACAGAGAACAGAGAGGACACAGAGGATGTGACACAAACTGCAAACAAACAATCTGATACCTTCAGAATCTACAGGACATGCAGCCAGTAAGTGAGAGTTTTATCTGGGATCTCTTCTTTATTCTTTTTTCAGTCTTTCTGTCAACATTTAGAATCTGTAATGTTTCAAACTCTAAATCAGGACTTTTTTGAAAAGCTCAACCAGAGACCCTCGTCCTGCTCTCGTCTCTGAACGCGTCAGCGGCGCCCAGGCTTCACTGTTGATTGGCTGTTACATTTAAACGATCCCATTGTTGCCGAGCTTCACTGTAAGTGTTTGAGACCTTTTATGTGGATACATGTTCCAAACATATGAAGGCTGTGTGCTCAGAGTCTGAGGAGAAGGAATGACGTGACTTTAAAATCACTCGTAAGAACAGAGCTGGAGCTGAAGGTTCGGATGAAGACCTCAGACGGTGCACGCTGTGAGTTGAGCTCTAACATCCAGTGAAAGATTGAGTCTGCTGTCAGCTGGATAACACAGACATAAAGCTTCCAATCAAAACACTGCATTCAGTGTCAGCGTTTGTTTCTGAGCTGCAGTGAAATGATTCCTGGAATCTGACAGCAAACTGTGAAAACAGGGTTTAGTCTGCACCGCCTCCACCTCCCAGGAATGTGTTTTCTCAGGCCTGTTTGTGTGTGTGTGTGTGTGTGTGTGTGTGTGTGTGTGTGTGTGTGTGTGACTGTGTCAGTCTGTGTGTGTGTGTGTGTGTGTGTGTGTGTGTGTGTGTGTGTGTGTCAGTCTGTGTGTGTGTGTGTGTGTGTGTGTGTGTCAGTCTGTGTGTGTGTGTGTGTGTGTGTGTGTGTGAGTTTCCTTCTGTGTGTGTGACTGTGTGTGAGTGTCAGTCTGTCTGTCTGTGTGACTGTGTGTGAGTGTCAGTCTGTCTGTCTGTGTGACTGTGTGTGAGTGTCAGTCTGTCTGTCTGTGTGACTGTGTGTGTGTGTGTGTGTGTGTGTGTGGGATGGGCTTAATCTCCGTGCAGCTGGCTGTTTCCTGCATTGTGTCCGTGCTAAGTGAACAGGACAGGCGGGATAATGGCGGCTCAGGGTTACGATGGGATCAATCTGGGAAACATGAATCAGTCAGAATGAATTTAAGGAAACGTCTGAATCATGACCTCTAACTTTAGGTTCAGCTGAAACTTCTTTCAGGCTCAGTGTGGATTTAAATGTCCCACAGGCATCTTTAGATCGTCTTTGCAGAGACACCGCAGACCTAGTACTCAGCATATTTCCAAACTAAAATGAGCACTGCGTCATCAAATCCTTCTTCTTCAGGCTCAAATGCTCGTGCTCTTGAACCTCGCGTAGACGGCTACGTCATGAACGCGATGTACAACGCGTGTTACAGGAGGATTCCTCTAGAGGGAGCACCACATAAATCAGACCGCTTAAAACACTGAAGTAGAGATGATCTGTGGCCAGCCATTTTGGCACGCATGATTGTTGCTAAGCAGCAGCAATGACACATCGTAGTGCGGGTGGTTACGGACTTGATCTGTGAACTTTCCTCCGTCGCTGTAGCGGCTCTCTGGTGTCTCTGATGTCATCACATCCGGTCTCATGAACATACAACTCTACACTGCCCCTAGTGGTTATATGCATACTGCATCACCAAAGCGTTACTTTCCCATGTTTGAGCGCGAGGATCATTTTAAAGCAGCAGGTGACACGTCAGGACGGAGTTCATACGAGTTAATCTGTCTTTGATATCGATTCCCATAAAGAGTTCAACACGGCCCAGTCGGAGAGAAAGGAGAGAATCACAAGTTCAGAGAGAGGCTGCAGGGATTTCCTCTGAGATAACAAACGATCAGATATGAGAGAGAGAGAAAGAGAGAGAGAGAGAAAGAGAGCAGAGAGAGAGAGTAGAGAGAGAGAGCATGAGAGAGAGGAGAGACAGAAGAGAGAGAGAGCAGAGAGGGAGCATGAGAGAGAGAGAGCAGAGAGAAAGCGAGAGAGCAGAGAGAGAGCATGAGACAGAGAAGAGAGAGAGCAGACAGAGAGAGAGGAGAGAGAGAAAGAGCATGAGAGGAGGGAGAGCATGAGAGAGAGAGCAGAGGGAGAGAGAGAGAGCATGAGAGAGAGAGAGAGCATGAGAGAGAGAGAGAGAGAGAGCATGAGAGAGAGAAGAGAGCAGAGAGAGAGAGAGCAGACAGAGAGCAGAGAGAGAGCATGAGAGAGAGAGAGAGCAGAGAGAGAGAGAGCAGAGGGAGAGAGAGCATGAGAGAGAGAGAGAGCATGAGAGAGAGAAGAGAGAGAGAGAGCAGACAGAGAGCAGAGAGAGCATGAGCGAGAGAGCATGAGAGAGAGAAGAGAGAGAGAGAGCATGAGAGAGAGAAGAGAGAGAGCAGACAGAGAGCAGACAGAGAGCATGAGAGAGAGAGCATGAGAGAGGAGAGAGAGCATGAGAAAGAGAGAGCAGAGGGAGAGAGAGAGAGCATGAGAGAGAGGAGAGACAGAGAGAGCAGACAGAGAGCAGAGAGAGAGAGAGAGCATGAGAGAGAGAAGAGAGAGAGAGAGAGAGAGCAGACAGAGAGCAGAGAGAGCATGAGCGAGAGAGCATGAGAGAGAGAAGAGAGAGAGAGAGCATGAGAGAGAGAAGAGAGAGAGAGAGCATGAGAGAGAGAAGAGAGAGAGAGAGCAGACAGAGAGCATGAGAGAGAGAGCATGAGAGAGAGAGTATAATAATTATATAGATTATAATAATAATCTATAGAGGAATAATAATTATTATATAATTATTATTTTATGCCACAATATTTATAGAGGAGTCTGTGTCAGTTCCAATCTGGGGAAACTGTTCTGTAGTATATAAAATTCAAGAATCCTGTCCTAACATAACACAGAGCTTATTTAGAACACACACACACTCTCTGATCACTGATAGAAACACCACACATAGATCCACATATCAAAGCAATGCCCTGATCCCCAACTCACAAATTCAACAAACAGACAAAGATAATAAACAGAAATATACAAATCAGTGGAAATTAGAAACCCAAACAATACATAGATTAGAATGATATAGTTTACTGGACAGGGAATTCAAATTAGCCCAATATTTAAGATAAATAAAAGAACCTCTTAAAAGACAAACAGTGAGTAAATACAGGCTCAGAGATCACACACTGGCTGTAGAAACTGGTCGACATAGAAGACAGTGGTTAGAGAGATCTCAGAGAGTGTGAGTGCACTGTGGAACAGGACAGGTGGAAACTGAACTTCATTTCCTCACTAGCTGCCCCAAACATAAAGACAATACAGATTTAATGATCGAATCCCGGGCTTTCTTTCCCTCCCTAAAGAGGAACAGATGAGAATCACTCTGGGAGAAGAGAGCTGTAGAGATATCAGCGGAATATGTGTTTGCATGTCATCGAGTGAGAGAGGGTTCTATGTAGGTTATTTATATTCAAGGTTCTTCATGTCACAATACATGGCTGGTCACAATATAAGACATGTTTACTCATGTGTAAATCATTTTCATTACACTTTTACGTAATTGTATTTTTCTTCATTATTTAATTTCATATGTAAATTATTATAATGTGTATTGTATATTTTGCTTTGGCAAAATGTTTAACCCAAACATCATGCCAATAAAGCCATTTGAATTTGAATTTGAATTTGAGAGAGCAGAGAGAGAGAGAGCAGAGAGAGAGAGAGAGAGAGCAAGAGAGAGAGAGAGCGGGAGAGAGAGCATGATAGAGAGAGAGCGAGAGAGAGCATGAGAGAGAGAGAGCAAGAGAGAGAGAGAGCGGGAGAGAGAGCATGATAGAGAGAGAGCGAGAGAGAGAGAGCATGATAGAGAGAGAGCGAGAGAGAGCATGAGAGAGAGAGAGCAAGAGAGAGAGAGAGCGGGAGAGAGAGCATGATAGAGAGAGAGCGAGAGAGAGAGAGAGCATGAGAGAGAGAGCGAGAGAGCAAGAGAGAGAGAGAGCGGGCCCATGACGAGTAGGAGGTCAGGAGGTCAGGACGAGCAGGAGAGGGACAGAATCTAAAGTTTGATTTTCTCTCTTCTGATGTCATCAGGGAGGAGAAGCTTCTGAACAGATCTGAGTTCACTACATGCACCGTGGCATTAAAGATTATTTCAGAATATGGTCGTGAGGTCGTCAACGATTCACGACTTGTCACGACTTGTCACGACCATGTTCTACCCAAAGTAATCCTCCAGTGTGTGATGTGACTACGATTACTTTACTGCTCCTCATCGAGTCGCAGCCTCCTCGATCTGGAATCTTAAATATAATATATAATATGAAGCAGCCAATGAGAGCGAGCAGACCGGGAAGCGTCACCAAGCGACCACTTTAACAGATCACAAACATGGCGGCGAACACAAACACACCTGACCCCTGAGCCCAGTGGAATACTGAAGACGAAGAGCAATTTGTGTAACCATGGCAACAACACAAGTGTCTTTAAGACATCTCATGAAGCCGACGAAACCACGCAGCCAGCTGACCACGACTGTCGTCCTCCATGTTTGTTTTTCTCCTGAAGTCACGTTTGATCACGTGAGATTCTGTGAGATGTGCGTGAGGACTGTAAAGTTCAAATCTGTCCTCGTGTTTGTGGTCGTGTTTTTAAAAAATCGTCTGGTGTGTAACCATCCCGCAGTGCTGCACGTTTCCACACGTGTGTAAAGTAACAGTTTAAAGGACATCAGAGCTTGTTTTAACCAGCTGACTCAGCGAGTTTCTGAAACTCTGACTTTCCCGACAAACAC